ATCCATAGGAAATGTACTCATTATCTTACTCATGTAACTGTAACCTCTCTGTACAGTGTCTTTACAATAAAAATATACATAAAAAAAGAAAAAGGAAAAATCAGGAAAGTGTGACATTGTTCAAACAAAGAAATGTACTCATTACCTGACCTATGATGGTAACCCACTTTATGATGGTAACATCACTTTAATAATAATAAATAAATACATATATATATATATATATTAAAGTCCAGGTAGTTTCAGTGATTGTCTCATCTACCTCATCAGCCATCTCCACCTGCAAGGGGACAGCTTTTATAGCTTCTATGGTAGAGTTGTGCACTGAGCTGGGCTGTAGCTTAGTGGTAAGTGTGAGTGCTTACCATAAGTAAGGCTCTGTGCTCAATCTCCAGCACCACACGCCAAAGAGAGAAAGGAGAAATGGAAATGGGGTCTTCCAATCAAGTACTTCAGATTTAAGAATTACTCTAGCCAGGGCTGGATGATTCTTGCTTATAAACCATGCTACTCGAGAGGGCTGAGATCTAAGGATCACAGTTTAAAGCCAGTCCTAGCAGAGAAATCCAAGAGAGAGACTATCTCCAATTAACCAGCTGGAAGTGCAAGCATGGCCTAAATGGTAGAGCCCCAGCCTTGAGTGAAAAAAATAGAACAACAACAGTATGAAGTCCTGAATTCAAGTTCCAGTACAAGCACAGAAATATAAAATATTTAATGACTCTAAACCACATTCACATCTGCATCTTTCCTGAAAATCTGTGAGTCATGTATCTTCAGCTAATTTGTGTCTGCAGATGTTGTTATATTTGCATAAGTGCTGGGGTGATCTCATTTCAGAACTTTCCACTCTGTTATAGATGAATAGTATTATCCTTATTTTCACATTTGATTTCCCAAGGAAGAAGCATCGACTGGCACGGGCATGGACTCTGAAGTCTACCACTGCTCATTAGTTTCAATTTAATGCTCTATTTTTATGAACATAAACTAGGAAAATAATTGAAAATATTTGTAACTACACATTCAAGTAATTGGGTGTGCAATATTTTCTTTTTTTTTGGTCGGTTGTGGGGCTTGGGCCTGGGCGCTGTCCCTCAGCTCTCCAGCTCAAGGCGAGCACTCTACCACTTGAGCTACAGCGCCACTTGTGGTTTTCTGGTGGTTTATTGGAGATAGGAGTCTCACGGTCTCTCCTGCCCGGGCTGGCTTTGAACCGCGATCCTCAGATCTCAGCCTCCTGAGTAGCTAGGATTACAGGCGTGAGCCACCAGCGCCCGGCTGTGTGCAATATTTTCAACCATGTTATTTTTGTTGTTGCTGGTTCCTGAAAGTCCCCACATGGTGGCAAGAATTTCTATGGTTGGTGAGCAACAATGCCAAGGATAATTTTACCCACTTATCAACTGCTTTGTTGTTTAGGTGAGACAGAGTCTCACTCTGTAGCCCAGCTTCAGCCTTCTGAGTGCTGGGATTAGAGACAAATTCCATGTTCAACTTGCCTTCCTCAATTTTTACCCTGCTAACAGTATTATATACATTAGAATGGGTGCAGATGTAAAGTCAGAGAGTGGGTTTTGTTCAGAGGAAGCCTTTTTGCTAAGAAGTTCTTTGTCTCCATCTGGTGGAAAATGTGGGCTTTGCACTATCAGCTGTATTACAGCCTGGCTCATTAGGGTCCCTCACGTGGTGCTTGTGAACAATCCAACAGGCTGGCCTCTGCAAGCCAGTTCAGTCAGAAGCGCTGGAATAACAGTTCATTGTTGTTGCTGGGTTTTTTTCTGTTTTGTTTTTTTAACGATCTGTAGTCAGTTTTAATGCGCGTTTAGAATTAAGAACCAGTAACAGGCAATGGATGGAGCTCAATGGTCAAGGGCTTGTCTAGTGTTTGAGAGGCCTTGGGATAGATCCCCAGTGCCACAAAAATAACAGAGAACAAAAATGAAAAGCCAAACAACAAAACAACCAGAGCAGGGTGTGGTTGGCTCATGCCTAAATTCCTAGGTACTTGGGAGGTGGAGCGATCAGGAGTGTGGTTCAAGGCTGTCCTCACTTTTCATGCACTAGGTTCACTAGAAGGCCGGCAAGCCTGCAAGCAATTTCCAAATCATTGCTGGACACTTTCTTTTTCTTTTTTGCCAGTCCTGGAGCTTGAACTCAGGGTCTGAGCACTGTCCCTGAGCCTCTCTGGGCTCAAGGCTAGCACTCTACCACTTGAGCCAGAGTGCCACTTCCAGGGTTTTCTGTTTATGTGGTACTGAGGAATCAAACCCAGGGCTTCACGCCTGTCAGGCAAGCATGCTACCACTAAGCCACATTCCCAGCCCGACGCTGAACATTTTCATTCCTCAAACCTAAATCTATAGCTTCATTCAGCAGGAAGTCATCAGATAAGTAATAATTGCCCCCAAGCTCCCTCAGCTGGAGAATGAACAAAGACAGACAGGTGCCTTTCAGCTCACAGTACCTCCTTTCCCATTGGTTGGGCATTTTGGTGAGGTAGGTCTGTAAAAGAAATTACCAAGCAGGGCTGGGAAAGTGGCTCAGTGGTAGAGCACTTGCCTTGCATGCCTGAGGCCCTGGGTTCGATTTCTCAGCACCACATAAGCAAAAAGAAAAAGAAAAAAAAGCCAGAAGTGGCGCTGTGGCTCAAGTGGTAGAGTGCTAGCCTTGAGCTGAAGAGCTGAGGGACAGTGCCCAGGCCCAGAGTTCAGGCC